GACCAGGGTGCCACCACTGCAATGGATGGAGCACCTATGGGTGCATGCACTGCAATGGATGGAGTGCATATGGGTGCAAATACTGCACCCACTGCAATGTATGGAGCACCTATGGGTGCCACCACTGCAAGCACTGCAATGGATGGAGCACCCATGGGTGCAAACACTGCACCCTGCAATGTATGGAGGGCCTATGGGTGCAAATACTGCAATTTATTGAGTGGCTATGGGTGCATGCACTGCACCTGCTGCAATGTATGGAGCACCTATGGGTGCAAACACTGCACCCTGCAATGGATGGAGTGCCTATGGGTGCCCCTGCTGCACCCCCTTGGGTGCAAATGCTGCAGCCCCTGCAATGCACCGAACACCTATGGGTGCCACTGCTCCATCCCCTTGGGTGCATGCACTGCACCCACTGCAATGCATGGAGCACCTATGGGTGCAAATGCTGCACTCCCTTGGGTGCATGCACTGTACCCACTGCAATACTCTGTGCTCCCCTTAGGTGCATACACTGCACCCCGGGCACCTTTGGGTGCACCCACTGCAGCACCCCACACATGCCCATAGGTCCCTACACTGCACCCTGCAGCCCCATAGGTATGTGCACTGCACCCACTGCAGTGCCTCAAACACCCATAGGTGCTTGCACTGCGCCCCCCAGGTCTCTTGGGTGCAAACACTGCACTCGCTGCAACACTGCACATCCCCACAGCACCCACTGCAACGCCCCGAGCACCCTTGGGTGCAAGAGCTGCACCCCAGGCCCCCACAGCAGTGTGCACTGCACCCACTGCAACACCCTTAGGTGCAACCTCTGCACCCACTGCAATACATTGCACCCTGTAGGTGCACGCACTGCACCCACTGGAACACCTGGAACACCCTTAGGTGCAACCTCTGCACCCAGTGCAGCAGTGCAGACTCCCATACATGCATGCTTTGCACCTATAGCGACGCCTTGAGCACCCTGAGGTGCCCTCATGGCAACCCAGGCCCGCCCAGGTGCAAGAACTGCATCCACAGCAATGCATCGATCCCCCCCTCAGGTGCAACCACTGCACCCGCTGCAATGCATGGACCCCCCCACATGCACCCGCTGCAATGCATGGATCCCTTGGGGTGCAAGAACTACACCCGCTGCAATGCATGGACCCCTCTGGATGCACCCGCTGCAATGCATGGACCCCTTGGGGTGCAAGAACTGCACCTGCTGCAATGCACAGACCCCTTCAAGTGCACCTGCTGCACCCGCTGCAATGCATGCACCCCCCTCAGGGAGCACCCGCTGCAATGCATGCAACCATGTTGAGGTGCACCCGCTGCACCCGCTGCAATGCATGCACCCCCCGCCGCGTGCTCCCGCCGCAACGCATGGACCGCCCCCGCCCCGCGTGCTCCCACTGCACCCTCCCCACCGCTCCGCGCACCCATAGGTGCCCCAGCCCCTCCCCGCCCCCGCACTGCTCCCCCCTCCCCCCCGTAGGGCCGGCGCTGCAGCGCGCGCGCACTGCGCATGCGCCACCCTCCCGGAGCGGGCGGGGCTAGGACCCCGCGGCGCCCCCTCCCTCCAGGAGCGTGGGAGGGGGCGCCGCGGGGGCGCCACGTGACGCCGCGGGAGCCAATGGGGGCGCGGGTGACGTAGGCGCTCCCTTTTCTGCCCTGGGATTTTTTTTTTTAAATATATATATTTTTT